ATCTTCCTAAGCATTTGATTCTCTGCGGGTGCCATGGGGAATGAAGGGGGTACCTTCATTCCCACTGGGATGTTTCACTGCCGGCACTCCCAAAGGAGCCCTGGTATCACCGTGCTGAAGCCCTGGGCCGCTCACAACAAAGTCGGGGCTTCGAATCCACTGCCTGCTCCACAGGAGAGCGATGTGGCCGCCTGCTTTACATATACACAGGCTCAGAAACCCCACGAGGGCTGTTCTACTCCCCGAGAGGGCCACCATGAGCCTGAATGGACTAGACCATGGGTTGGCTTGGTTTGGGGCGGATTGATTGGTCAGAAATACAATAGACGGAGGGGGGGAGAAAAGGGGAACCCATCACAAGGTTGGATATATAGCCCCCCTGAGGAGGATGAATAACAGAAATGTGGGTTTGGGGAGACAACAGACAGTGTGCGAACGGAAATAACAATAAAAATATACAATTGATCAAGGATTCACTGGCGGGGTTGGGGGGAGCTTATACCAAGGGCTTAAGTTGAAAATGTTTTGGAAATGATGATGGCAACGTGTGTATCAATATGCTTGATACAACCGATGTAAGGAATGTTATAAGCGCTCTAAGAACCCCCAATAAAATGATTTTTTAAAGAAATGATATACAAAAAGAATACGATTTTCATATTTTCATCGTGCATCTGAAACCTGGTGAACTTATCTGCTGGTTCACATGCAGTTCTGTAATGGGTTCCTCTGGATTGCGCGGCTGGAGGATCACGTCTTCTGCAAGTAGAAATGGGCCGGGGAAGGCTTCTCTGAGGGGCGGTGTTTGGGCTAGAGGACGGCATGAGGCGAATAAGGCAGCTGTACAGGATCTGGGACAAGTTCCAGGTAGAGCATCTACTCCAGCATCAAATCTGACAACGGGACATCCTTCTCTCCTCCTAGATTCCTGGTCTTTCTGAAACTCCCTGCCAGCTCTCGACTGCTCCACGCAATACAAGCTGGGATCTCCTGCCACTGCCTTGCAGGTCCAGGACCTCCCGGGCAAGGAGCGAAGCCCCTGACTGGGTAGCTCTCATGGACAGCTTCAGAGCCTTTGAGGATCACCTCTCAGTATGCTGCACATGGGGCTGCAAACACCAGGTCAGCAGTTTGAACCCCACAGCTACTTCTTGGGAGAAAGATGAGGCTTTGTGTTCCAGTACAGATGCAGGCTCAGACTTGGTCAGGAGTCAGACTTGCTCAGACAGCTGTGAGTGTAGTTTTGAGTGAGTTTCTCCCAGGAGGGAGGCTGACAGATGAGTTGGCTGTGCAACCTGGTTTAATTAATAGCTCAGACCAGTCTCCCACAAAGATGATTGGTTGATGAGCACCTCCAGGCTAATGTTTAAACCTGGACTCAGGTGAGTTACCTGCTACTGTGGGCCAGGTATTCACAGAGTCCCTGAGGATGGAGGTTTCCTTCAGGTTGGGGGTTGGGTTTCTGCCTTCCCACGGCAGAGCCTCTGCGGTCCCTGATTCCAGAGACAGAGGCAGCTCTTAGAGGTACCTCTCTTATTTTGCTTCCTTGAACCTACTGTGTCCCTAAATAGTACCTTCCTACCTAGGGACACTTCGTGGTGCTCATGCTGAACTTGGACCTGGACCAGGACCAGGAGGCAGTCCTTTGAACAGAACAAGGGAATGCTGAACGGTTTGAGATCAGGGAAACGTGTGCATCCGGGTTGAATCCTTTCACCAACCTTATTCAGTCTGTATGGTGCGCCATCCATCCAAGAAACCGGACCACAATGGAGATGAATTCGGCATCAGGGATTGGAGAAAGACTCGTCACTGACCTTCCATATGCCGATGGCACACCTGGCTTACTGGAAGTGAGGAGGACAGGAAGCACTTACTGATGAAGGTCAAGGGTTACAACCTTCAGGATGGGTTGCAACTCAATGTCAAGGAGGCCCCAATCCTCACCCCTGGACCAACAAGTGACATCAAGATGAACCGTGACAAGGCAGAAATCGTCGAGGGTCTCCTTGGCTTGGCTCCACAGTCGCTGCTCAGGGAAGCCGCAGCTGGGTCCGATGAAGCGTGCAGGGGTCCCTCGGATGCCCCAGACCTCCTCAGAGGGCAGAGGAAGAGCCAGGGTGTCACTGTGAGGGCCTCGATGCCCTGACACAACCCCTGGTGTTTCCAGTTACTCCCTGCACCTGGGAGACCTGGACACTGCATGAGGCAGATGGAAGAACGGATTCATCTGAATGAAGTGCTGGTGGAGACTATTGAATGGATACGTAGGGACAGAGTCAGCCAGGTGGAAAGGCCGGTGGTGATCTGCCGGGGCCAATGGCACTGTCCGAGGGCACCTTCCAGGTTTCCCTCTGGGGTAATCCCAGCAAAGTCCCCTTCTCTTGGGATAGGAAGCCTCACTTTAATGTGACAGGTCAGCCTGAAGACCTGCAGAGGTGGAGGTGCCCGCAGAGGGGGCTTTGCTTCTGAGCCTGCGTTGCCGAAGATCTCCTTTGTGGGGAGGGGCGGTACCTTTAGTAGTGGACTGAGCAGACCCTCTGGGAAACGTTCCGGGGGGACTGCGGCTTGTCTTCGACCAGAGGCAGCTCCATCAGGCCAGCTGCATGCTGTCGCAAGATCAGAGGCTCTTTCGGCTTCCCCAGCTGACATCCATGGGACCCAAAAGGGGGCATCAACTTCCTGGCTTAGTTGGGTCAGAACAGGATGACTGGGATGACCGCACAACACATCCTGCCTTCTATGGATCACGTTAGGGGCCCTGCAGGCACGCAGGCATTGGGCTGCTAACCATAAGGGCGGTGGTTCAGACCCACCAGCCTTTGTGGGGGGAGAAAGAAGAGGCTGTCTGCTCCTGAAAAGATTTAGGCTCAGTACAGAGACAATTCTGCCCTGTCTTACAGGGTCACTGTGAGTCGGCATTGACTGGATGGCCAGTGAGTCTGAACTTCTGCAATTTTTTTCTAAAAAAAAGATTTAGTCTCAGAATCTCTACGCCATGGTTGTCAACCTTCCTAATGCCACACCCTTTCATACAGTGCCTCATGTTGTGGTGACCACCACCCCCAACCATAAAATTATTTTTTTTGCTACTTCATCACTGTCATTTTGCTACTGCTATGAATTGGGCAACCCCTGTGAAAGGGTCATTCGACCCCCAAAGGGGTCACAACCCACAGGTTGAGGACCGCTGCTCTACATGGTGTCTCATCTCGATGAGTCAGAATCAACCCCACACCAGTCGGATGGATCCCTGGGGCTACTGATAGGCTGAGGGTCCTGTATCAGTCCCCCTGGCACTTGGTGGTTGCCACTGCCCTGCTGTGGGACTCTGATCAAGTCACTGGGCCTCTCTGGGCCCCGTATGCCACACCTGTGAAGGGAAGCGTTGGTGAACCCTAGCATGTGCCTCCTGCTTCCGGTCTGAGGACTGGGTTCAATGCTAGCTGTCCATTCAAATAGCCTGCCAATGCTACTGAGCAGAATGAAGGATCGGATAACTGAATGAATGAGCATCAGCGAGAAGGAAGAGGGATGGTTGTTGTTCGATCTCATCAGCTAGGACTTTCCTAGCACCTGGTGGCAGAGTGGTTATGGGTGGAGCTAGAAACCAAAAGACCAGGAGTTCAAAACCAGCAGCCGCTCCTTGGGAGAAACCAAAGGCTTTCTGCCACACGGGCGCTTCTACCCCATCCTTTATGGTCACTATAAGTCAAGGGCAGTAGGACTGAGCACAGTGTCCCCGTGGTGGTGGTGGTGGGGGTGTTAAAAGGGAGTCAGGCCAGGTGGGGCCAGGCATATCCCAGGCCTGGCTCAATTAATCTCTCCCTCAATGGACTTAGTGACTGACCTCGGGAGGGAGGCCAGCTCAGGTGAGCTGCTGACAGGGAACTCCGTGAGACCATTTGCATCACAAAGCTTCTTGTAAAACCTGGGCTGGACTTTCAGGAGGCCACAGTGTGAGTCCCCAGCTTGTGTTCCAGCCCCCACAGTGCCACCTTGTTGTGGCTAGCTGCCAACCAGGGGACTGCCACTCCTGAGGACACCCCTCCCCGCCCGCCCCCGCCCCCGCCCCCCATGTGTGGCAGAACAATGTATTGCCCTGGCCTGTGCCAGCCCCATACTGAGCTGCAGGTGGGGCTCTGGTGATTCATTGAGCTTCTCGCAGTCTGGTGTTCAGAAATAGATGGCCAGGCCTTCCTTCCTACTCTGCCTTAGTCTGGAAGCTCCGCTGAAACATGTTCAGCATCCCAACACTACACATGCCCCCACTGACAGTTGATGGGCCTGGTGGCGCTGTCAGGTCGGCGTTGGTCAGCAAGGTCAGTAGTTCAACACCACCCACTACTCCCCAGGGAGGAAAGATGAGGCTGTCCGCGTCTATAAATCCTTGAAGGCTCAGAAACCTTCCACAGAGTCACTGTGAGTCAGCGTTGAACGGGAGTGGGGTAATGATGGAGAAGCGAACCCAGGTCTCTTGGATGGCAGGCAAGAATTCTACCATTGATCCATCGCCGCCCCCGACATCCACTCAGAAACTCAGACTCACTGGTATCAAGCCTCTTCTGACTCTCAGGGGCCCTGCCGGACAGGGTAGAAGTGCCTGCCCCTGTGGGTTTCTGAGGCTGTACCTCTTCACGGCGGTAGAAGCCCCCTCCTTCTCCCGAGGAGCAGCTGGTGGTTTGGAACCGCCAACACTGCAGTTAGCAGCCCAACAAGGCACCCACTGTGCCACCAGGGCTCCTGTGCCACGGCTCATGTCTCCGCAGACTTGATGCCAACCTCTCTGTGTATATGTATAGATACATAGATAAACTTCACTCATTCGGCTTCTCCAGGGAGCCCAGCCTCAGGCAGCACCTTTGTCTGGTAACTTGTCAGCTTAGTGGTTCAAGAAGTTACGTAACCTTTCTGGACTTGTTTCTCTAACACGTGAAGCATTTCTCCTCTCCCGTCTTAGTTTACCAGATGAATTTAAAGACCAAGGACACACAAGGAGACTCTAGAAACATGCACAGTGTTGTGTTCTGGCCCCACGTGTTAAAATGGGCGGAGTTTACAGCATCCTGTGACAAACATTGTATCATTCGAGAGGCTCGCAAAGATGCGGAGGTGAAAAACGCAGGAAGCCTCTTCCTTAAATGAGAAAGCCAGGTGGGGCTTGTTGCGTGACTCATCCATGTTCCCCGGACAATGAAGTGGGGATGCTGGCGCTTGGACCGGTGCTATCTCACGCGGGGTCCATGATCACACAGAATCAATCACCTGCGTGGCCAAGCAACGACGGCGCATCCATCAGCAGTCGAGCAAACAGGAGTGGTGCCGCCATCGACGTGGGATGGACTGGTGCATTGCTTCCACGGATGGCTCCTGTCTCGATGACATTGTGACTGGGCCACGTGGTGTTTGCTGAGCCCAGGAAAGCCCTGGAGGCTGATGATGCTTCTGTTTCCCAACATGTCTGCAGTCCATGTTTGCAGGACCCTGCCGAGTGAGGAGGTTAGGGTCGTTAGTGAGGCGCCGTCCAGCCGGTTCAGGCCCACAGCGACGCTGTGCCCAACGCTGCCCGCTCATGCCAGAGCCCATTGTGGCAGCCTTGGTGCCACAACATCTCCTTGAGGGCCTTCCTCTTCTTGCTGCCTAGAACCCCTCAACTGCTAGAGCCCTGGACTATTAGCCAAGAGGTCGGTGGTGTGAACCCACCCAGAGTTGCCTGGGAAAGCGGGCCTGGTGAGATCCTTACCTGAAAGGCCTGGGCTTGGAAACCCTGTGGAGCACCTTCCAGCCTGCGCCCTCCGGGTTGCCATGACAACTAACAACCACCAGAGAGGAGGCGGGGTTGTCCAGGAAATCCAGTGAGGGGAGGGGGCAGACAGCAGCCCTGGAGATGCTTGACCTCCTTCAAGGGGGTCAGAAGGGCAAAGGGAGCAGGTTGCTTCTAGACCTGGTGGACGGCAGCAACACAAGAGTGTGACTTCTGTTTCCCTACCCGCCCATCTCTTGCGTCCCATGCTACCTTACAGAACAGTGATTCAGGAACACCGGTTCGCTCTCTCTTTTCCTGACCACATTGTAAACTTGAGGGAAGAAACCTGCCCGGCTCTTTCTCTGTAGTTGCCCCTCGTCCCTACCTGGATTCTGAGGGAATGGGTGTGCTTATCAGTGGGGGGAGGGGGGCGCGAGCGGTGGTCTGAAGGCCGGTGTGATCTCTTTCTTGGTCTGCTGCTTGTGTCTACAAAACGATGCAAAACAGCTATGGCCCTAACGAGCCCCGCATTGACTGCGGGCACATGACTGACCCCATAGTACACTCAGCTGCTTTGTGAACGCCCTTTCCAAGCCGCTTATAGCGCGGCCAGGCCCACGAGGCGGGGGCAGCGAGCTGGTTCCTGGCGGGTTAGCTGAGCCAGGAGACAATGGGCACTGTGCTCGTCTGAACACTGAGGGAGACCCAGGGCACCTGGACTAGCCGCACGTTGACAGTCAGCCCTCAGGTGCCATGGAGTGAAGGTGTAGGAGGCGGAGGAGGTGGAAGTGGAGGTGGAGGTAAAGGTGGAGGAGGTAGAAGTGGTGGTAGAGGTAGTGGAGGAGGTAGAGGTAGAGGTGGGGGAGGTGGTAGTGGTGGGGGTAGAGATGGAGGAGATGGAGGTGGTAATGATTGTGGTAGAGGTGGAAGTGGAGGTAGAGTGCTGGTACAGGTAGTGGAGTAGGTAGAGGTGGGGGAGGTGGTAGTGGTGGGGGTAGAGATGGAGGTGGAGGTGGAGGAGATGGAGGTGGTAATGATTGTGGTAGAGGTGGAAGTGGAGGTAGAGTGCTGGTACAGGTAGTGGAGTAGGTAGAGGTGGTGGTGATGGTAGTGGTGGAGGTAGAGATGGAGGTGGAGGTGGAGGAGGTAGAAGAGGTGATGGAAGTGGAAGTGGAGATGGAGGTGGAGGAGAGGGAGGTGGTAATGATTTTGGTAGAGGTGGAAGTGGAGGTGGAGGTAGTAGTGGGGGTAGAGGTAAAGGTGGGGGAGGTGGTAGTAGTGGAGGTGGAGGTAGAGGTGGAGGAGATGGAGGTAGTAGTAGTGGTAGTGGAAGTGGTAGAGGTGGGGCAGGTGGTAGTGGAGGTGGGGGAGGTGGTAGTGGAGGTGGGGCAGGTGGAGGAGCCAGAGGTGGGGGAGATGGAGGTAGTAGTGGTGGTGGAAGTAGAGGTGGGGGAGGTGGTAGTGGTAGAGGTGGAGGTGGGGATGGACAGGGCGGGGGAGGAGAGGAGAGCAATGTCCATCGTGCAATGACTTAGTGCCTGTCTCCCTCTTCCTCCCCCCCTCCCCTCCAGTCGTCCCTCCCTCCCTCCCTCCGCTCTGTCTCCTGCACAAGGCGCTATTGAGAAGGGCCAGAACAAACGGGCCCTTCTGCAGCTCCCACGGCGTCTCTGGGTTTGTCCGAGACAGCTGCCTGGAACACGCTATGGTTACTCATTACCGGGCTCCCCAGGCAGGAAAGGAGCAAACTTAACAGACCCGAACTAACCCTCGGCTCAACAACAACCCCCACCGCCCAGATACAAATAAATAAGTCAGGTGTACAAGGTGGGGGAGATGACGAGAGGGGCTGAGAAGTGGGGAGGGGCTGAAGTGGGGGCTGACGGGGCAAGTAAACTGATGGGATTAGAAAAAACCCAGGAGATTCTTATAGGGAGGGGGAGGAGGCTGAAGGAAAGAAAACTCCCTTTGAGGGGGGCGGGGGGGGGGGGCTGTGTGCTGCCTGCAGAGTGGCCGGCCTGGCCGTGTGGGGACTGGCTGTGGACTAGGGCTTGGAGAGGGAAGAAGCAAAGCCGCCACCCTCCAAAGCTGGGTTGCAACCACGCAAAGGTTCCGTCTGGGCTGGGCTGCTACCTGAAAGGTGAGCGGCAGTTCAGATTCACCCGGGGCTCCATGGAAGAAAAGACCTGATCCTATAAGAGGACAGCCTAGGATACCTTCGGCCTGATGGCCCAGAGCAACAGCCGCCAACAGCCACAAGGTCAGTGTTTGCTGCAGACAGAGGCCAGCAGACCTGGGGCAAGGATGCCGCCTTCCTCCTGATCAACTGTCAGTGATTAACGTCCCAGGGAGGACAGCTCCGTGTGAGCCTGTGGCATCCCCCCAGGAGCTCTGAGATGTTAGGATAATCTGCCCTCTGGACTCTTCTATGGTCCTCGTGTGTGGCATTGATTAGTCTAGACTGGCCATGCCCACATAGAACGTGAGCACACACCGTGCACAGCCACCACACACACACACATTCCCCTTTAAGAAATTGGCACAATTGCCACCATGCCTTTGATCCTGTGTCGAGTGCTCTGCCCCAGAGCAGCTGGGGCCAGGCCAGGGAACATGTGGTGGACGCTTTTGCATATTAACGACGTATGGGGTAGTTATTAATTAAGGTCCTAGCATGGATAACCAATGTGTACAGGGACCACACTCCCATCAAGCAAATGGAAGGGAGGGGATTGCTAGAGGAGACCCGGGGACCAAGAGAAGGGGTGACCTGTGCGCAAAGCCAGCTGTACACCCAAGTTTGAAAAGAGCTGAAGCAGTCCTTCTGGACAGCGGGAGAATTTGAACCCCTGCCAGAGGGAATTGGGCAATGTCTGGAAGAAGTTTTCAGCTTCCCAGCTGGGGGCCAGGTGCAGCTGACACCTAGTTGGCAGAGGCCAGGATCCTGGTAAACACCTTACAATAATGCGCAGGGCAGTCCCCGGAATAATCAGCAGGGCTGAGCTGAGAAGCACTTCCCAGAACCTAGAGCCCAGGCCAGGTCACTTCTAAGGTTGCAGATGGCACCCTATAATTCTACCAGCCAATGAAGCCCCGTGAACTCACCTGCTCTTCCCGGGCAAGGGGACAAAGGGAAATCCTAGGGCCACACATGCCAGGTTAAGTCAGAAAGTATTGCTACGGCAGCCCAGAATCCTTCATCAAACAAAACTATCCTCACGTGAAGTCCTTGTCCCTGGACAGCTCCTCCATCTAGGTCTATACATGCCAGAAGGCGGCGATTCCACCTCTCTGACCCTGGTGGCCTAGTGGTTACATGTTGGGCTGTGAACCACAAACAAGGTCAGCAGTTCAAAACTACCAGCTGCTCAGCAGGAGACAGATGGGGGCTTCCTGCTGCCGGAAAGAGTTACCGTCTTGGAAACTCACAGGGGCGGCTCCACCCTGCCCTATAGGGTCTCTGTGAGTCAGCATCAACTCCATGGCGGTGAGTTGAGTTAACTGTTTCTCAAAAAATTCCATGCTATTCCATTGACAGCACCTCAAAATGGGGGTTTGGGTATTCTCAGGGGACATACTGGTAAGTCTTGTTCCTTTGGAGTGTGTGTGTGTGTGTGTGTGTGTGTGTGTGTGTGTGTGTGTGTGTGGGTAGAGAGAGAGAAAGAGCTAGTGCCTTGGTGCTGCACGGGTTACATGTTGGGCTGCGATCTACAAGGCTGCAGCTTGAAACCAGCCGCAGCTCCGAGGGAGAAAGGCTGGGCTTTCTACTCCCGTATAAACAGCTACAGTCTCGGAAACCCGCAGCCAGGCACTAAGAGTCAGCATTGGCGCAATGGTTGTGAGCTCTCTCTCTATACACACAGATATGTATATACATACATATACGGATGTGTGTGCATATTGTCTTATATCCACAAAAACAGTTCTCAGTGCTAGACCAGCTCCACCCCATGCCACGTAAATTGAAGTGATACAGAGTCATGGGCCTCATCTCCCACGCTGCCCAATTTCTCTGCAGTTGGCATGAGAATAGGCAGACTGCCCAAGGTCCCCTTGCAGTGAACACGAATCACAAAGCCTCCGTGAGCATCTCAAAGGCAACTGAGAGGAGCAGCCAGACAGGGGAGTCATTATGACCCACGCAGAGCCTGAACCCATGTGCCACTCTGCCCAGCCCAACACAGCAGCTCTCCTTAGTTTCTGATTACACCAAGGCCCCGCCCCTCACCCCTCCTCTCCCGACAGCAACTGAAGGGAAGAACTGCACTGTTCCCAGGAGCCCCGAGCCAGGACCCCACCCATTCCTCATGACTCCCCCTCTCTGGGGGCCATCTTCATGAGCCCTGATGCCCCCACCCACCCCGCTCCCCCTATGCCGCCATCATTTCTGGGTCAGGCCACTTGTCAAACTTCAGAGTGGAGCAGCAGGCACCAGCTGCTGCTGGGAGGCATTAGAACTAGATTGTTGGACTTTCTCCTGAGCTACTTCCAACCACCCAGAACCAAACACACTGCCGATGACATGTTGTGACCCCGGGGCAGAGGTGGGTTCCGATTCCCCTGCCTGTCACTGAGGCCCTGCATGACCTCAGGCAAGGTGCTGTGCTTCCTCCGGGGCACCTGGTTCCCTGGTCTCTGTGAGGGTGGGACTCACGGATGGTGACTCTGTGTGGAGCCCCTGGTGCTAGACACACGTGAGCACCCAGATGTTGGTTGTTCTGACATGACTGCTCAGGAGGAAAGTCCTTCTATAGTCTAACCTAATCTGAGTCCTGGAGGCCACTCCTCTGGGCTCTGCCTACCAGAGCTCTCTCCTTGGGGACGGCAGAGGTCAGCTCTCCCCAGCTGCGCCTCCTTGGTCTTCTCAGCCAGGAAGGAATAAGAAGCACTGATCACCCCCCTGCCTCGGGGACCCCAAAGCTCTTCCTGGTGGCCCTGCAGGCTGGGGTTTCCCCCTCCTGCCGGCAGCCGACACCTTCCTTCCTAGGGCCTGCAGATAGCTGGTATTATGGCCACAATAAAGCCACGGATAGGCCACGTATGATACTGTAAGTCAGCCTGGCTTCAGCTCACAACCGGTTTGTCCCACGGCCTCTCCCTTCCCCCTTGTTAGCTCTTAGCCGGCTTATCAGCTCCTGGAGACAGAAGTCTCGGCTTTAATTGTGGCAAATTAATTATTGAACCATCCAGCCCGCACACACCTGACAATCATGCCCATTCAAAGCGCCGAGGCAGGAGCTGGGGAGCCAGCGGGTGCGGGGAGACAGCAGCTGGGCACCGGCTCCAGTCCCACGCCCACCAGGGGTTCAGCTAAGGAGCCTCCGTTCCGACCACTTGGCCTCAAGCAAAGAAACGCCTTGATCAGAACCATTCTGTCTTTGTACACAGATACGGAACTTTCTAGACGAGGCTCACTGGGCTGTGTGCGTGCGCGGAGCAAGGTGGAATGAGTGAGGGAGCTCAGGTGAAGATCCTATTAGACTTTCGATTTTACTCTCTGGTCTCCAATAACAGGAGGCGCCCTGGTGGCCCAGCGGTTGAGCACTTGGCTGCCAACTGAAGGAGCAGCTATGTGAACCGTCAGCCATTCCCTGGGAGAAAGGTGGTAGTCATGGGCTGTCACAGTGCCCCTCGCAAGCCCCAGGGCACCGGTCCACTAGGGCCCATCGGGGTCGCTGTGCATCAGAATCCACTGGATGCCAATGGTTTGGGCTTTTTTCTAATAGCAGACATGGGGCCCTGATGGCATAGTGGTTATGTGTTGGCCTGCGATCCTCACGGTTGGCAGTTCAAAACCACCAGCAGCTCCGAGGGAGAAAGACCGCTTCCTACACCCATCAACAGCCACAGTCTTGGGAACCCACAGGGGTGGCTCTGAGCCAGCATGGACTCAATGGCACCGAGTTTGGTTAAATAACACAGGGGAGGGGGCTCTGGAAGGTCTATGGGGCAGTGGGGGAGGGGGGTGAAAAGATCACAGAATTTTCCATGAGCTTTTTGAAGCCCCCTCGTAGAGCCCAGTCCTTCCCCCCTCCCTGGCACCCCCAGCTGCCAGTCGGTGTGTGGTCCTGTGGTGGACGGCCTGCGTGCTGCACGGATGAGGGAAACGAGGCCACCGGGATTTCACCGGGATTTCAAACACTAGCAGGGTTGCCCTTGGAGGGAAGGTGTGTCAGTCTGGGTACCTTAGAGAAACAAATCCACAGAAACTCATATGTATAAGAGAGAGCTTTATATAAAGGGTAAGTGCACATCAAGAAAACATTCCAACCCAGTGCTGCCCAAGCCCACAAGTCCAACATTAACCCATATGTCCGACACCAATCCACCAAGTCCTCCTCCATCTCACAAAACACACGCAATGACACCGACTGCAGGAGGAAAGCCGAATCAGTGAATGTGTAAGCATCTCAGCGCTGGCAGGGGTCTCCACACGGCTGCTCCAGCACCCAGGACTGCATTGGGGTAGGTCCATGCGGCTTCTCCTTGGGGATGTTTTTGCAGGAAGTGCGTCTTGCCAGCTGAAGCAGGGAACTGGCTAAGGCAGCTGCACCCTGGTCCGACCATCACAAAGCAAGAGACCCCAGAACTCACAAGGTGAGGTTCCCTGAGCATTTATCTCTCTGCCCTTCAATTAACCCCACATGTGTTTATCGGCCAGGTTGGCACCATCAACCTGAACTATCTCAGAAGGTGATAGCATCGCTTCCACAGGAAGAGCTGGAAGAAAGAAAGGCCTGGGATGGCCTCGGGAAATGAACCACTGAAAGTTCTGGGACCCCGGCAGGACGTCGTCCAGTTAGAGGGCTGGGAGATGGGCCCCTGGGCGAGGAGACATTCCAAAGTCACAGTGGCTGGAGCCACGGACAGGACTGACCTGTGCTGGTGACGACAGTGCAGGGCCTGTATTCCACTAGGCGCGGGGTCACCAGGAGCGCAAACTGCACCACCCGTGGCATTTTGGGGTGCAGCACTGTTTTAAGCACTCCCTCATTATCAAAGCTCGAGGAGGTGTGCATCCTATTACTCTCTACCCCGATTCACCGACAGAACAGCTGAGGCATGGAGAGATGTCAGAGGGAACCAGCCTCCAACAACCAAAGAGCCAGTAGGCGCCATTGTACGTTGGTGCGATATGGAGATTATAGTAAAGTCCTAGAGGATTGGAAAGGCAGGAGGGAGGATAAAACAAAGGAGTCGGACACA